ATCCGGTGCGTAGTAAATAATAAATGTTCGCACGTAGCCCATCGACGCGTGATCGTTTGCCGCTCACCAAGGATAAAGTCGACGTTGTTTCGTTGCGTAAACCGATCGGATACCTTAACTTTACGAGACGAAATCGAGCCGGACCGAGCCGAGTCGAGCCGAGTCTGCGCTGTTTTGTAATTTATTGGTATCATAAATCACTGAGATGATTAATGCTTTTTATTAACGATCCGAACACTGGTTAGATTACACACAGTGGCCCATTTCAAGTATGGCTAAATAATAAGGTAATAAAGATGAAAGAAACGCCTCACTATCGCAAAGAAATAGCGCGTCTATTTCTTTGAAAGATTCAATTTATTATCTCTTGTAAAATTGCGCGAATAAAAACATTGAAAAGACCGTGTATTTGTCCAACTAGCGCGATACAAGAGATATGTTTCTTCTCCGTAAGGCCACATTTATCGCATCATAAAGATATGATTTTTAAGAATTAGAAAAATCATATTTTTTCAAATAATACTGTTTTCATGTCGGACCGTTGTGTCTGGAATATTTCGGTCGCAGAAATTTCATAGCGGGACGCAATGGCGCAATAGACGTGCTTGCAAGGATAAGCGCTGTTTAAGCTCGCTTCTCGCGAATATTGTATAACTTGTCAGGGTCCGTTTTCGTAAATCAGTGCTCTCGCCCCAAACTTTCATACATCGCGCGAGTGGACCAATTCAGGCAGGACAAGCACGCTCACCGCTACTACATATTGCATTCCAACATCGCGGCAAGATATTCGACGAAAACATTCACTCATCATAAAAACAAATTGTGTCATTCATGGGTTCGGGCGCGATATTTCTGTCAAGAAAAACTCATTTATAATGCAATTAATGAAGCGAGTCATCATTTCTTTTCATTTTATTCTCTTTTCTTTCTTTACGCGAGAAGAGTTTCTTTCTTCTGCTACTAGTTGAATAATCAGGAAAGAATTATTTACTCTGCGACCTTGAAATGGCGCTGTTAATATTATCACATAAACACAGAGAAAATGACATAAAACGAGCATGACAAATTTGTTATTTTCACACACGAACAAAGTTCCCACAGGAAGATACGTAACAATTACCGTATCCCTTAACACCCCAATTTTTCAGTCTTCCGGTCGTTAGGCGGTTACGCAACATAAGTTATGATAAATCGATATATATAAGCTGTTCATGTACCGGAACGTCGTACCAAAGACATTTATAACATGGATGGGACTACATGTGACCGAGTCGATGATCAATCGCTATGCCGCTCTAAATCATCGACAATTTATCAACAACTGCCTCGGCGGGTGAGGATACAGATAAATCGATGTCTGAAGCAAGCTTTTATACATTTCCCGAAAAGTCGAACATGCCGACGTAAAGGTGGATCCTAAGAGTAATAAAGAAGCAACTTGTCTCAAAAAATCGGACTCATGATCTAACGTGTAGAAATGCACGACACAGAAACACTTCTCCTTTGACAATCGAAAATAAGAAGAATGTAGCACGACCCAGACAAACGCCCAGTTCGATCAACAGTCTCGATATTTGTTTAAACGATGCGATTAAGCAAAACAATTGCTTAAATGTTTTTCGTAGTTACGCGTGTTGTTGCTTAATTTATGCAGCCGTTGATTCAGCGCCGTGTTTGCCGAGCGCAAATTGCACGAGGAATGCCGCTTGTTAAATCGAGCACTGTTTTATCTGCGCCGATGACAGTCACGTAGCGCTTATAATCGCGTTTGTCACCGAACACACCATTCTTGTCACATACAGGTTGCAGGTGTGCAAAAATAATAAAGTTGAAGAATTTTCAAGAAATTCTTTTGCAAGTCGGTGAATTTCGAGCGAGCTTCGCGTCAGGCCGCATTGAACTTGATTTGGAAAATACAATGTTATTTAACGTTGCGAACGTTAAATTGAAAAACTGACGCTAAGACCGTGTCGGCGTCTCTTCCGATTGAATGATATTTTATTGAATGCATTTGATTGAATGGATCGTAGATCAACAGCAGTAAACGTAGTATCCTTAAATACGAGCAAATCCTCATTTGCTGGGTAGCATTTGCTCGAGTAATGCAATTAAAACGCTCGGACAATTATAAGCACGATAACAGACGTAATTGCGGAAAGTTCAGTTTCGATCATTCAGATATTCTGTTGAGGTACGCGCTTACGATCGTCGCATATCAATTCGCCGAAATGCAGAAATTTGCGCTTCGAGTGCGATACACACATCAGTCAGTAAAAATGAATAACACAGATGAATAAAAATCGTCCACACAGGGCGACGACAGATGGGAATATAACGTAGGATATCCCTCTCGTCGAAACAAGTGAAGCGGACGCAATTTTCAGCGAGTATACTTTCGCTCACTGAGAATCGTCGCGACGTCAGCGTTTAACGACGTTAGCTTTCCGACATGTCACGTAGCGTCGCGTCGCATCGTTTCCACGTTAATGGTCCGAAATAATGCAACTCGCGCGACAATCGTAAGCGCTTCCGGCCAGTGCATCGGTCGTGCCGTACTTTTGAGATCAAAGCCTTCACTCTCTTTAGATTCCTTTTCGTCCCATCGATATCTATATCTGTACAATGTAATTTGGAGCAATCAGCGGCAAGATTTCTGATCGCGCGAAAATCAAACCGTATCTTGAACGCATTAATTATAAAATTGAAAAGCACGTCTTCTTTATCAACGCGATACCCCGTCTTGGCGCACAATGCCATTAATTATTATTATCATATCGCCACTTTGCGCGCAATTAAATTGACGCGATGTTTGAGCACTAATTGGCTCTATTAAACCGCGTACACGTACTCGTCAGAGTGGTATTCTCGCGCTTTTACGAATATCTGTTTCCTTTTAGGGGAACCACTCGCGCGGTACCAAAAGATACTCGCGAATTACAATAATTTCCATTTCATTTTCCGTAAGCGATAATCAAATGTCATAGTCAACGAAGGATGCTTGTGAACAATAATCCTCGCGTTCCATCTGTCGTGAGAGAGACAAAGGGCAGAAATATATTTGCCGGCTGTTCCGATAAGCGGTTAAAGTCTTGGAAGTGGAAAGATGGAGCGGCTCGCGCTAGTTGTATTTATAACTCACCGTGATCCGAATCGGTATGAGGCAGTTTTCGGAGCCAAATCGGTTTACGAGCTATACGAACAATTTCCGCCCTTTTATCAAGGTTGTCATGTTTGTAGACATTATATTAACTTTAAGCGTGAAACTTTTCGCCGATACACACCTACACGAGCCCTACCGTCTGGATCCGCGTACATATGTGTATATATATATATATATATATATATATATATATATATATATATATATATATATATTATTTGATTTCAACTTCAAAACGATATCTTAGTAAACGTTAGCAAAAGCAGGCCCTCGTCTATAAATCCTCGCAATGAATACGTTCGAAATATCTCAAGCTAAAAGCTCAGGAAGGAAAAGAAAATCTCCTTTTTTTCTTTTTATACTTTTTGTTTTCCTTTTGGTATCAGTCAGTTGTGTGCGATTCATTGGCGGCGCCGCGACATTGCGTCAATACGCGAAACAGAACGGGCGGCGCCACTAATTGAGTCGCTCGTTTCTTTGCGCGCGCGTACAATACACTAGCTACCCTTTTCGCGCGTTCGCTACGGTGCGAATGATGGATTAATTATCGGTTGTAGCGACGAGAGAACACAACGCCGCGCGTTCCCCCACGTTAACTCTGCAGCTCGACACAGCAACGAGAGTCTCGACCGTTTCGCTTGTACCGGACGTCGTCGCAATCACGGAAATGACACCACGACTACAAATCGGGCGTCGACGAATAATGGTCGCGTGAGAAAATTTGCTCGACATATTAGTCTGTCAACGCAAAATTAGCGAAGAATAATCCTTGATTCACAAGAAAATTCAATAGAAAGAATGTCCGCGAGCGCTCGACGAGACGCTGCGTTCCGCTAGTAAGGATGTCGCTTCGCTCTTCCAAAGATCTCTTTCCTCGTTCTCACGACGACGGGTATGAAATTTGGAATTTCAAGAACGCGAGGATATTGAATTTTACACATCTCTCGAGGAGCATGTGTACGCCATTTCTCATTTTGCAGCCATTTCTCATGTTGCCGTGCAATCGATTCATGCATATTCATTTACTTATTTACTATAGAAAAAGAGAAAGAGAACTTGTTCAATTCTAACTTAAAGTAACTTATACACGTAAATAAAGTTGTGAATACAGTAGAAAAATGAGTGGCTCTTCTAACCTGAAGTCGATAATCGTTTACGAACCAACAATTTCTTTCAAGGAGATCGCCTGATATCGCAAAATAGGGACGGTTGAATCGTGTTTGAGTAAGAAAATGACAAAATGGCTGAGGAATTTAATTTCAGGCTTTTCATTTCGCGCTCCCGGACGCACCGCGAACGTATCGGCATGTGTCCTTACCATACCTGGTGCAATTACTGTTTGACGGATTAAAGCAACCCACTTTCCTACCCACTTTTGCAAGACTCGGCTCATATAATTACGCGCACACAGATCATTTGCTCCGCGCGAAGAGCACGAATTACATTTCGGAAAATGCTATTAACCACTCGCCTACTTACACCTATCTACTTACTCGATGCAACGTGCCACGCATGAGTCGTGAATCGCGAAGCACGTGTTACGTGCGAATACCAAACAGTCGATCAACGATTTGTACTCGGTATAAACCTCGAAACTGCTGAAAAAGTCACTGGAAATTGAAAGCGATTGTTGAATCGCGCACCAATCGAACCAATAAGCGAGCGACTCGTAGCAAGTGTAATATCAAACGGCTCGAGATGCTTGCTGGTCCAACATGTGAAGACGATTGAATCCCCCAATTGCGCCCCCCATACAGTGTCAGTCGATACGCGGGGAAAAAGTTTCCCACCTCATTGCCTATATCACGTACATTCATGCACCGTAATTGGTTTGTTACAGGTAGCAAAATTATTCTCCTACACGTGGACTATGGGTATCTTCCTGTGCAAAGCGGTGCATTACATGCAGAGCGTGTCGGCCATCTGCTCGGTCGTCACTCTTACCGCAATGTCGATCGAGAGGTGAGATTACTCGTACTGCTCGTACCGCGTGCGAATATCGCGATCAATAATGCGACGTCGGCGGCGCCAAAGTGTTGTTATAATCATATGTAAATTGTTCGGATAAGTAATTGCTCGTTTGTGTCTCGAATTGATACTGAGCATTAATGTCAAGTCATATGCTTTGCTCGATAGTCTGCTGAAAAAAGAAAAGAATGAGTACAGAAAAGAAGGGGAAAGTTAGGTATGACGTTTTTCCGGGACATATATAACACGAGTACGTATAAATAATTATAAATAATTTGAACATATAAACCCGATTCTGCCGCAATATATATGTATGTATATTTTTACATAACGACAAGCGTGTCTTTTATGCTGAAACGTATGTGTCTTTGTATGTCTTTTTATGATGATCTCTTCGAGAAAATAAACGAAATAATAAATCGCGCGCCAGAAATACCTCTAAACAAAACTGCCGATACGGTTAATTTAATGAATCGAGAGGAAATGCAGCGAGCTATTTTGCAGTAAAATACCACGTGTGACAGCAATTTGTCGCCGAAATGTTAGCAATTTAGAAAAAACATTCATATCTGCTGAAATTTTTTATATAAAAGCAACAGTTTGTATTTCACACGATTTCATAGTTTCACGATGACTCTGAGCAGAAGGCGCGCAGAGAGAGAGAGAGAGAGAGAGAGTAGCAATTCAATTCTTTTCTCCAGTGTAGTTGTTTCGTCTCGTAATTTATTCATCGATATACATAAATGTAGTATACAACGTCTAACAACTAATCATCTAACAACTAATAAACAAATGATTTTTTGTATGATTACTTGTCATCTCATCGTGCGTCGCGCACGAGAGAATATTTCTCGGCACTAAAAGCACATGAGGCCCAGGGAAAAGCTGTGTACGATCCTACGACCTTTTGAAAAAGAGAACGAGGGCCGGAAGAAGTCGTCGTCCTTCCGGTTGCCTGGTACGCGAATAGTTCTTCTTTCATCTCGCTCGAGTCACGTATCCGACCTACATAACGATCTTTATATCATTCTCTCCCGCGATTCACCTATGTCGTGTGATTGCAAGACGACGTTTGAAATTGAATATCCAGCATTAATCCGAGAACTTGGCGCGCCATTCCAAAGCGACTCAACAGATCTCTCAAAACGTTTGCTCTTTCTCGACCTGCCTTGCGCTACCATGCGAAATCGGAGAGCGACAAAAAGAATCGCTGCCGCGTATCGGAAGACTCGGGTTTCGATGTGTTCCTTACAATTGAATGAAATTACAAGAATCTGGGCGATCGCGAAGTTAATCTCCCGAGGAATTAATTATGCAATTCCGCCCGACACAATCGTTTTCCTGGAAGAATCACAGCGCATTTAGCGATTACAGTAGAATACGCCACGGATATGTCGCTACTTGGCGCTTATCCAGGAATAACGATTTTTCTTTTGATTCCTTTGAATTGAAAACACTAGGATACATCTTTATCCTTTTTTTCGGACATATTTGAGTCGAATAACGTTCTAATCTAATAATCATTACTGTTTAGAAGCCCATTCTCAAACGATATCAAGTTCTGTAAATCTTACTCTTGATAAACTTCTTGCCAACTTTTATATTGCTCAGCTCTTCAGTAAGGGTCGGATATTTCTTTTTCCGTTTTCACTCAAACTGCTTCATACATAGAGTCACTCTCGAACCATTAATTTTTTGTCACATTTGATTATTAAATATCTCTCGCATCCAATCCTTTTGCGTAATTATCTAGTTATTTAACACAAATAAATCTGTAAAATGTCAAAGAAACACGATCGGATCGTAGGTAAACTAATGAAATAAATCAATCCCAACAGTCAAACTGAAAGCAACATGTGCTGAATACAAATGGGAATTGGAAATCTCCACTAAGAGAAACTTTACAAGTCGCATTCTTCTAAACGATTGATAAAACGACTATAGCGACGAATACCTCTGAAAAATATTACGGACGAAACAGCAGCGAGTGTTTGTTGACTTTCTCAAGACAGAACACTTTCAAGTTTTTATTTTTCCACAATGCGAAAAAAAAATAAAAAATGGATCAAGAAGAAGCTAAAGCCTTTTTGCTTTTTGTAGCGAGAACGTACAAAACACGCATACCGATAAAAAGAAATTGGCGCGAAAACGATGTGAAACGAAAACGTGGCCGGAGACTGAGAAGAATGCAGGTTTTGCAAGATGCGGCGCGAATACTCCGGCCGATTTTTCGCCAATTATGCGATTCGATCTCTATCCGCTCATTATATTTCTGTTCCTCCCTCTACATTCCGGTATACTTCTCTCGAGGATAGAGAAGATTTTCCCCATAGACAAAATCTCAGCCCAATTTGTCCGAAACTCGTGTTTAC